ATTATTAAAGTTTTATTTATGATTAACTTCACAATATCTATACAACAACACACAAACAGGACTTTGCTTCAATTACAAAAAATGTATAGTAGTTATAAGGGTCGACCGTCTGCCGACTGTCTTCTGTGAAGTAATACAAGTATATTGTAGTATTTCGAGTGCTAGGCTAAGTCATCGAATATACTTTTTGATATAAATAAAACAACGGCAATAACAGTAGTGGCACAGTTCTCCGAAATGCCTAAAAACACATAATCCTAGTTGTCTTCATCCTCTGAGGAAGGATGTAAATGCCTCCATACTTCTTACTCAGAGGCAATTGAATATACCCACATTTTTTTAATAATCTCTAAAATTAAAAATGTAATGGGTTTTTTTTTGTTTCATTCACACAGAAAGTTTCATTTAATACAATTTTCACGTTCTCATAGTTACGCCTAGTCGAATATACGGGCACTAGTTTTTCAAAACGTAGAGACTCTACTTAAGAAATTGGGACAAACGATTGAGGAAAAAATAATGGGAATTGTAAAACGCTGACTGTGGTCTGCGAACGTGAGGAGGGCCTAATCAGGACCCGTATTTACTTAGTTCGAAACTGACGCAAGGAAATTGTTACTGTGCCATTGAAATTGTTACAAACTAAGCACATTCAATGTAATAGTAGCAGCAATTTAAACAAAATAATACACATAAACAAAGCTGCTCATATTAATGTTATAATACCTTCCAGACTTCAGAAATAACTATAGATGTTGTAATGAATGACATGTCTTGTCCGCCTTTCATTGTGTATTTTGGAATCCAACGGGACCAGCCCACTACCGTCTCTTGCTTTATTTTGATTTGTTATCGATGTTTCTATTTTCACAAAAATAGTCAAAAATATAATTATTGGTATATATTACATTCTCACTGATAACGTTTAAGTCGAGTAGTACACAACTTAGCCTAATCATTTTTTTGGAAAAACATAGAAAATACCCAAACTGATACAAATAAACATACTCACGAATACAAATGTTTAGAGCTCGCAAAGAACCCACGACCATCAGAATGAAAGCGTTTGCCTGTATGGTATGTATATTTTATAGGAGTAAAATAACAGAGTATGGAGGAGTGACATTTTATTCACTTACTTTATTCATTCACTTCATTCCTACGGAATGGCATTATATGAAGGTACTATGGAGGTATCACATGATAAGGTTTCGTATCGATCTTCACGTATGTGATTGTTCTTTTTTGCCTATTTTTTGTGGCAATTTGGCAAAAAAGCATACTGCGCATCTGTTGGTAAATAGTTACCGTAGCCTATGAACGCCTGAAATACCAGGAGTGTCACGTGCGCGTTGCTGACCCCTAAGAAACCTTAATATACCCTTCTTGCAAAAACCCTATGCTGTAGTCTCTCGAGAAAACCTCGCCCGGTAGTTCATTCCACAATTTAAGTGTTGGCCATTTCAGTTGTATAAAACACAAACTAAAACAACTTCTATGACTAATTCCTTTATTTTACGAATTCAAACAACATTGTTGAACTGTAGTGCAATGACAGTGTAGGTGGTGAAGAATCCAATACAGGATACCAATAGTGTCATGTCTATAGATACGGAGCCAAATGAACTCATAGCAATCGGCCGAGTAGCAATCAACCGTGATAGACCCCGCGTCACTTTGTACTCCAACATACAGGTTGATGATGTATCTAAAATAGTATCAATTTTAAGAATATATAATTATAATGAATAAAAATGTGAATAACAATTGAAGTGAACAGTTTGTTTGAGTTTACCAAACACAATTGTGTTTGGTAAACACTTGATACCAAAACAAAAATAATAACATAAATAAATGTACTAGTTGAGTTTGTTGCCAGTTTTTCTCGTCTTATTTTAATCTTTCTATCATGGCCGATCCAAATATTATGAATCAATATATAACTATATAAAAAGAAAGTTGTATTACACTTTAATAATAGTAACTAAAAACTATAATCTAAACAAGGATATATTGAATAAGGACCTCTTAAAATACATTTATGCGTAAACAACAAATAAATGTAAAATTTTACGAGATTTCTATAACAATCTCTAAACGTATTTCTTTAATTTTTAATAATAATGAATGTTTATCCGTGATGCTGTTAATGTATATAGGCAACGTTTATTACTTACTATCAGTTGGTGAAATTGTGTTTCATTCATAAGAAAAAATTAAAACTCACTCCCAAGTGATTTTAAGTGAAGGCGACAAAGTTTTCTCCTTAATTGTATCGCGTTGTTCTGAATTTGTTGTGCTGCATGCGACAATATATATAATAGTAGACTGACCGCGAATAGCACCATGATGTATACATATATCTGATTGGGTGTCATTCCACGACCCTAATGAATGCAAAAATATAAAAAAGAGCCATCATACAAAGTTGGTTAGTGAGTTGACAGAACAAACGCCTAAACAGATCTTTTTTTAAGCTTAATTGAAACCAACTGTGTTTCAATTTGTGGATACAGTAATGTATGTAACAATATTAAAGTTAATCATAGGTTTCATCTAATTGACATTTAGTAAGTTACATTAGCTTACGCAAAAATAAAAGTAGATTATGAACTGAAACTAAAAAAACAATTATGGAACTGAATGAATAAGAACTTCACAAATGATTGACTAAATCCATGCTAATGCATCAAAATCGGTCCATCTATTAACAGGTATGAATATATATAATATTTAACCTGCAGTAAAATCACTTAATAAATAAAATATACTTAAAATTATAATTATAAGACAGATAGTCAGAGATGTTTTTATAAAGATAATCATTAGTAAGTGACTTTGTATGCAACTCGTAGTATTTTTTCTTGTTAACTGTTGCAATATACATAGATATATCTATTGTAAATTATGATGTACTTGATTGCTATAAAACAACTTACTTTGAAGTTTAGTGCGGTCATAGTATAGAGAATGGTTATATAATGTGACAATGACATTCCAATTATTATAGTTAGCTGAAAAATATATTAAATTGTATTAAAGAAGCATATCAATTTTATTATAAATTGCACATATGGTAATATTGCTAATATGGAGTTGGCGATATTTTGGATTTATTTTTATCGAATTTTTGAGGTGCGTTAGTTACATTCACGCTAGATGCAATGTCTATATTTATTAAAAATATTTATTAACATCGTAACCGTAAACAAATATTGTTTATGCACTCATAACTTTGTCAGTTCTAGCCTTGAATAATGTAATGTACCTTTTGATCTTGAATTGGTGCAGTGAAAACGGGGTTTTTATTCCTTATAACAAAATTAGCTCTTTTTATTTATAGTATATTAAGGATATATTCGGATATAGTCTTACTTACTTGTACTCCAAATATTGCGTTAGTCAAATCAGAACATTCTTTAATGCGCACATAAGCCGTAAACCATTCATACGTATTTAAGCGCCCAATTACATCGAAATCAGGTATAGCTGGCATCGATATATCTTTTTCAATTGAACGTGTTATTGTATCTAGTTGACTAGCATAAATATTTAATATACACGCAAGATTCAAAATTTCTGTTGTATACCGAAGATCAGCAATCATTGTATTCGTATGATATATATAACTCATATACAATGGTACGCCACGTACATCAAACTCATTACACATACAAATACGGACGAAATTGATCACTCTCCCCGTACAAAATATGGTTACTGTAATTGTTAACCATAACCGATTGTTATCAATATTCTTGCGATATATATTATCAGCTCTGAAGTATTCACAACTATTTCGCAATTTCAAATATAATTCTTTATATTTGTCCTTATTATAAAATGACACAGTAATAAGTACATACGCAGATATGTTGGTCACAGTGAAACATATATTTTCAGTCATAGGTTGTAATTTGTAGCATATGTCGAAGTAAACAACTACAAGCCCGGTAATAATAGTTAATTCAATAACTATCCTCGTCGCTGTTAAAATTCGAGTAAAGCTATCGAAGAAAAGAAAATTTCTGTAGATGCAAAAAAGATTTTCTACCCATGTAACTATCTTTATAATACAAATTTTATGCAGCATTTTTATGCCCATGTTACTTAGACTCTCAACTTAAAGTAAAAGTTACGTTCTATTAGAAACACCTTCAGTAAATATTAACGCCCTTGTCATAAATTAGTGCGCTCACAATATTATTAATGCGTCCCAAAGCACTTAAAAAATATTAGTAACATTTTTGTCAACGCTTTCCAAATTAATATAGGGTTCTGTACACATTTACATATTTAAAAATTTGTTTAATATATTTTTAATTATTAATTAATATTTATTTTTGATGAATATTCACGGATAAATAAATAAGCTTTCATGGGACCACAGTGTTAGAGTTCTGTAAAACTTATACTGTCAAGATAGTTTAGATAAATTATTATTATTGAAAATATATTTATATGTATCAAATATTTTCAAATCCATTGGAATTAATTATTAATTAGCCTTTATTATAAAAAGTAATGTAAAATTATTACTAAACTATACAATATAATCATATGTATAATATAATATCACGGCTACGGTGATCTAGAGCTTTAGCTTCTTCCGATGATCGCGAGTTCAATTCCTCGCACTATACAAATATTTCTATTCGTGCCTATGATGGTTACTATTGGTCTGGTTATTTCCTATGTATATCAAGTAAGCATTTATAAAAATACGTATTCAAGTATTTCTATTAGTCGTTTAGTACCCATAATATAAACCAGCAGAGCTTAAAACTAGATTGCCCTGTGTAAATTCTCCAGGCTCATTCTTACTAATGTTTTATAAAAACTTCATATCTAAATTGATTATGCATTAAAAGTTTCATAAACTGACAAATGTACAAAAATATGCTACACATGACTGAAGGTATATTACAACAACTGTATATTTAGTATTTCGTGTATACAATAACTGAACATTTCCTTTATGTAAACATATAAAAAATAAACTAAATAACATTATTGAACTGCAAAGCAATAACAGTATACGAGGTGATGAAGCCGATACATGTCGGTACTAAGGTCATGTCCACACTGATAAAGCCAAACACGCGAATGGATATCGGCCGGGTAACGAGTTGTCGAAAAAAATTCCTTGACGCTTTGTACTCCTTCCGGTCTGAAAAATATGTATTGGAAATCATAAAATGATGCCGTTGCGTTATACGTACCTTATATTATACGTAAATTGGGTATGATACATTTAAATAATGTACCATACCGAATTAACAAAATTATATAAAAATAGTCTGCATATAATAAAGCTATTTAAAGAAAGTTTGACTAAATACGATGGATATCGCGTATTTTGTACAGAATTTTTGTATACAAAGTAGAACCTATTCTACTTTGTAGTCAAATCGTTCATAATAAAATAATAACATAAAATTATATAACGAGTTACTGTATAAGTAATACTCGTATTTGGCTACATTAAAAAAGTTTTGTTAGATACAATTAAAAAAATAAAATATTTATTTATATTTTATATCAGTGACAATAATGTATTAACTTACTAATGATTGATTGGATAGTATATCTGCATAACCGTCGTTTCATATGGTCTATATTATTCTGAACATCCTGTGCTGATTTCGACAATGTAAAAATTTGGCACATCAAAATCATAACCGTTATAATGTAATTATAATACTCAATTGGTTTTATTTTGTAATCCTAAAAACAAAATTAGATATGTACTAAATACAGGCACTCTAAAGTAGATGAAATCAATTAAAAACCTCACCTGCTTCTGTCTTGTGGCGATAATTGAATAGAATGTTGTTATATAACGCAACTCGGATGACACAAGCATAATAGTTGTCTGTAAACGAAAATTAAATTAAAATTTAAGAAAAGATCTTGTACTTTTCTTTACTCATAAGTGTTAATATTGCCTATATTAAATTTAAAAGATTATTTTAATACTCAGGTTGTCATACTCAGTGACAATACTTAAAGAATGGGTATACGAGTGGTACCTACAGACTGTTTTTTCCCATACTCAATCTAAAGAGTCCTTGACTTTGTTAGGTTTTCAATTAAATCAATTAAGAAACTTACCAGTAGTCCATAAATTGAATTTGAAATATTAAAACTTTCAATAATATACTTATATGTACTAGACCAAATATCTACGTTTTCACTATTGTCTCGTGATGCAGCGCAGGAGCACGATGTTACAATACTTGCGTTATTTTTTTTGTCTATAGCTCGCGTAATACATTGGATTTGTTCAGCGATGACAAACAACACACAGGAATATGAGCAATATTCGATAGTAGACCGGAGATCGCTTAAAAGCAACATCAACTGATTCAAAGTATTGAGATATATAGACATGCCAGATATCCTAAATACTGGTTGTATAAAGTTCCAACAAAAAGCGACAATTCTTGACAAGCAACAAATACAAATTAGTACGTTTATTTTCATTCGTTTCCTTTCAATATTATGAATGTACAAGTTATCAGGAACAAAGTACTGTGTGGTGTATTTTACATTAGAAAGTAAAAGTATAAATTGTTCACTGCGATGCCACGAAAATAGAATTGTTATACTGGAAACGACGAAGTTCAGAACACGATAGAGGATTTGAGATAACGTTTGTGTTTTATAATATCCATTCATATAATTAATAAAGTTTCCAATAATTACTGTCAGCTCTAAAAATAGACGTATCAAGATAAATGATTTTGAGCATTTAGAAAAGGCATCGTAATTTCTATATATGGATAGCATATTTTCAATTTTAATCACAAATTTTAATATCTGCTTTAACATTTTCTCGTTTCCTTTTCTTTTACCTGTTTGCTTAACGACAAGGGAACTGATGTTATTAACCATTGAAGTACTTAATAACTGAAAATGTCGGAATTAATGATAAATTATTATGAAATAGGTTACTGGTAATAATAGGTACTATTGTTAACGTTTTTAAATTAATGTGCCTACTTAAATGGCTACTAATGTATTGGACGGAAATTTTTTCCTGTTGTTACTTAAGTACATCATTTTTTAAATATTATGTGTGCGTGGGCTTAAAGATTTTCACTAACTTAGATACAGACGTTTGATCAATATAGTATATTTACTTTTTGATCTATGCTTAAACATATACATATATTAAACGTGTAATCGTGTCAACTTTTTGTGTAATTTAATATATTATTTTTTTATACATCAACCATCAAAATACTCCCAACTTATATAGGTATGATTATATCAGTAATAAATCAACCAATTACATGTGCTTAATTTATTTATTCATAGTTAATAATCACTGCCATTACTAAAACATCTTTTATTCGATACAAACTTATTGGGCCACTATGATGATTTTACTTAAGTACTTTACGAAAAATACAGTATCATATTATATCTCAATATCATTAAAGGATTAAACAATATTATTAAATTGAAGAGCGATGATGGTATACGATGTGACGAAGGCAGTGTAAATAGGTAGCAGTGTCATATCCACAGTAATGGCGCCGTAAACTTTAACGCGAATACATTTTATATTCACTTCCCTCAATAGATCACGCATAGTTTTACAATCGTTCTTATCTGGAATTATAAAACTTATTAGTAGTATCATTCTCCTCATCATCTCTATATTTACTAATAGACCCTTATCAAATAGGATTACTTACTTATCAGTAAATAAATAATTTCTCTTAAGAATAATGTCTTCTTAATTTTTTTGTATAAACGACAATATTTTACTATTTAATTTATTCATTTATGGAATAAAAGCCTCATTTTTGTTATACAGAGTATATGCTATTGACTTCATTTTAGCCCTAAGTTTATAATAACAGTAGGTACATTCTTGTGCTCAATATTATAATGAACACCAACATAAGAAAAAATATCAATCTTACCGTTTATTGAAAATAATACCATTTTGGATAACCTGCGTTTCAAATAATCTTTATTATTATGCATTTTTTGTGCTGCTTTAGATATTATATACAACATGACCATCATTTCTATTATACTAATATAATACATGTAGGACTGTTTCATCTTCAATTCATGTTTCTATAATTAAAATGAAATAGATTACTCGGTTAGATGACGATTGGATACGAATGTCAGTAGTTACAATAGAAGCAGTGATTCGTAAAAAACTTCTAACCTCTAAATTTACAACAATCGATCCATATAGAACTGTAGCGTTATGCGATGCGGCTGTCATCAGCATAATGGTCAACTGAAAGATGAACTAATGCAGTTAAGTTTCTATATAAATATATAAATTAAATGAGGAAAATAACTTAAATCAGATGATCAGACTTAGATGCGCATACATAAATACATATTCCACATGTGAAATATGTGAATTAGTAAATAATGGTGTAGAATGTAATATATTAAATGACCTCTAGGTCAAATATGGAAGTCAGTACGTACACGTCGCCAAATTAATTGAAAACGGAAGTAAGTATTTTTGGATTATATATGATTTTTGGAATTTATAAGATATATTTAGACTATAATAGTAATTTACTAAACTCATCTCATCATCACCAATCAATAAACTCACTTGAATACTGAAAATAGAATTTGCTAAATAGCAACTTTTTGCAATGTGTACATAGGCTGTAAACCATGCAGTAATTTCGGACTTATTTTCTGCGATAATTTTATTTACCTATCAAAGGTTTCTGCTACAGTGACTGTCGTTACTCTCTTATTTTCTATAGCACGTATGATGCACTGTAGCTGTTCAGCTAATACATCAAAAATATATGAAAATGCAATAAATTCTATTGCATATCTAATATCACAAACCGTTAGAACAATTTGCAAATAGTATGTCATAAAAGTAGTCATACCAAAAATATCAAAAGTACCAGTAACCCGGAAATATATTACTTTAAGTAATTTTATAATACACAATAAGTAGATAATGAGAAGCATTCTGTTTCGTTTCTTTCTTATACGTTTAATGTATATATTATTAAACGAATAAAAATAACAGTTGTTTAAATTTAAAACTAAATTACTAAATTTATCACTATATAGTAATGAAAATAAAATAAATATTAGAGAGTTTGCATGAGATAAGATAAAGTAAATGTTATTATATATCGTCTCGTACTTATAATAATGTATGTATACAATACAATTAGTTAATATACATGAAATATCAAATACCACACGAATTAACACAAAAACTTTCATTAATTTACTGTATTCATTATAATTTCTGTATATACAGACAAAGTTTTCCATTTGTATTATGCACTTTAGTATATTAATCATTTTTCACTAATTATAATATTATCTTTTTATTCCGTCATTATGTACATTGATCATGTGCTCTTTACTATAAATTGAAGAACGATATCATACCTGTACTGTTATTATTAATTTTGTCTTAATTCGTTACTTTACAAAACAATTTAATACCTTTAATGGGTATGAGACAAGGTACCGTTAAGTTAATGAAATATTTTGTAATATCTAATAACTTATTACTACCAGTATTATTTGAATAATAATTGTTACGATATAATAATGTAATTGAATGAAAAAGAGATTGGTGTGATAGGAAAAAGTCCCGTAGTAATCAGGCCGTACTAGATGTGGTTGTGTGATTAATATTTTTGTAGTTGCTGTTCTTATACACATTGCAATTACTAACATCTATATAGTTACAATTATTGTTTTTAATCGAATGGTTAAGTTTGGATATTGTTGTAAGTTATTATCATAGAAGGTCATTATGAAAAAAAAATCTTATAATAACTATAAAGTCTTTTTATTTAACGTCTACATAACATTATTAAATTGCAAAAAAATAACAGTATACGATACAAAGAATCCTACAATATTTGGCAGTAGAGTCATATCTACCGCAAAATTTAGGCCACAGGGCTTAGTACAAATTAATACAGATTTATTGTTAAAGAAACGTGACAGATTCTTAATCCTTTTGCGATTGTTTTCACCTGGAAATAATTCATATATTATATAATTATTACTGAAGTAACATAACAAAAATCTATAACACAATCGAATCAAGCCATATGTTTTTTTCGTAGTAAGTAATAGATAGTTCTTAAATATTGGAAGTATAGACAATATGAATAGTGGCAATACCACTTACTGTACATTGAAGTTATTGCCAGTTTGCAAATCATTCTTTTTACATATTCCTTATTATTTTGGACATCTTGTGCTGCTCTTGACATTGTATATAGTAAAAACATTTGTTCCATGAAGAATAAATAACTTATGTAGGACTGTTTTATCTTTGGTCCTTGAATCTAATTCAATGGAATTAATATTAATCAATAATGTCATAATTATTAGTGACAGAGAGTCTCATCATCTGTCTCTAATAATTATTTTATATCATATTCCTGTCATTTAGCTTGCCTTATAGGCTATATTTCATTTGAAGGGTACGATATAGCAGTGAAATTTCAGAGTATGACCTATGACTTAAGTCATTACAAATGGCAACGCTTAAGAGATACCACAATGGTCACATGACCACGCATGTTCTTGTTGTTGTTATTTCTAGCTAAAGGTTACCACAATACGTTAGGTTGTCAGCTCTATACCATTTAAATAACGGTATTGTTCGTTAAAATCTATTTAGTCTAATCTAATTACACATTATTTTCATAAGAAATTGATATGAAATACATTAATTACTTTCGCAAAAATTTTCAAATGTATAATACTCTTAATACCATCTTTCTTTATGTAATATACCTAGGGTGGATAAAAAGATATCATTACTTTGTACCTGTATAATTAAAAAAATGGTTCTTGTTTCATTTCCACAATATAAAGGTCGTAGAATTGTAGTGAAACCACAGATAATGAATTGGTTTCCTGTCATCGGATATTTGTTATACTGTTTTCTATGATTCTTATTATTTTAGTAGAACATGTAAATATTCTACTGCAAATGAATACGATGATAAAATATACTCTCTTGATATCATCAGTATGTATTTTTAAGAAATATTATTAATTTTATCTGTTTTGTAGTGTAGATAGACCAACAGACATATATAAATTTAATAACTGTACATCTTTTTGTTTTCAAGGCTAAACGCCTCAACGGATCTTAATTAAATTTGATATGAATATATTAAGTATTACAATGAAGTATTTAACCTCCTTTTTATCTCTAAAAGGAATTTGGAAAATGTAAAATAAGGGATGACAGATAATGTGGACTAAGTCGGGGATAATAGGTAGTACGACAATATTTACCTGTATTTTGTTAATATTACAGTTAACTAATTATATCAAAATATAAATTAGTCCAGACCTGTAAATTCAGCACAACCATTCCATAGAGATTTGTAATATAGTGTGAAACCATTGTTATCAGCATTATAGTCAACTGGAAAATGAAATAATTGCTATTATACAACAATATGTTTCTCAAAACACTTAACTATGTAAATTGTATACTTGTGACGGGGTGAAAACTTTTTATTTGTATATTCAGATTTAACATAGTTAAATGTACTAAAAATGTATAAAGAATATAGGATTGAATACGTTGAGAAAATTTTTCCTATCGGCGTCCAATTTTTAGGGAAATGCATAATATGAATATTATTCTGTAATTGCTTGATTTATTTTAGATCTAAATACAGTAATACTTATATTGCGGCTTTGAGACAAATAATATATTTTATATAATACATGTCTCATTAGTAAAATAAATGAAGAATTAGTTAAAAATTTAAAATCGCGTTATTAAATACTAGAATTCGTATAAATCTCGATACCTTTGATCCTCCCTAATGTTGACTAATCAAAATATTTTTCATGTTAGAATATCTTACTCATTTTATATACAAACCTGTATACTAAAGATTGAATTTATTAAAGCACAGCAGCACGCAATTTGTGTACAATTAGTAAACCATTTCTTAATCTTACAATTAATTTCTGTTATATTGTTAGTTGATTCATTCTCATTGTTTGTCCTAGTTAATCTTTTACTTTCCATAGCTCGTGTTATACACTGTATTTGTTCGGCTAACACATATTGAATAAGAGAAAATACAATATATTCTATTATAAATCGAAAATCACCAACCATTAGAACAATTTGAAAGTAATGTATCATAAAATAAGGCATAGTTGGTATATCATAAATACCAGTAACCCGATAAAAAATGAAAGCACCAACTCTCATGGAACAGATTAAAATGGCAATAGCAAGCATCTTGTTACGTTTCTTTAATATATTTGTAATAAATATGTTATCAAATCTGTGGAAATTACTATTAAAATTTACATACGGAACTAAATTACTGAATTTGTCACTGTTCAAAAATGGGATCAAAATAAACATTGCTGAGTTAGCATGTGTTAAAATAAAATAGATGTTGAGATACGTTCCTTCGAACTTATAGTAATCGACATAAATAATATAATTAGCAATAATACACGAAATTTCAAATATTATACGGATCAGCACCAAGACTCGCATAAATTTACTGTAACTATTATAATTTCTGTAAATACCAACAAAATTCTCTATTCTTGTAATGTACTTTAATATTAATGTCATTTTCCGATACATTTACTATTTCATAATCCCTTGACCTATCTGATAACTGACTAAAATTTTCCTAGTTTCTGTGTAAGTGTACCAAGTTATGGTAATTCGATTACAAATTTAATATTGCTAATGCCTATTGAACCTGCGAGTCAATCAAGTGATTGATGGAATAGTTTGGAATTTAATAGTAAGATGTTGGTACTATCATAACATAATAATAATATTATACCGTTATATATTTTTATATTTAAACTTTAGCATTTGGTTAGTTTTGATAATCATGAATAATTTTATGGTTAATAATTGTATTCACATCTCTCGATGTTACGAGGCCGTGTAATCAACGTGTAATGTGTGTAGCCGTGGTCACAAAATAATCGCAACAGACAGTACTCGCAAACATACGCACACTGTATCGGTACAACAATGCTACCGTACTTTGCTTAAATTTATTAATCACTATATTTCACGCAGGTGATAATTTTAAACCATATTCCTAGTAAATAGGCATATACAACTCCTTCATGATTGAACTAACGGTGATTCTTAAAGAAAGCGACTTAGTTGATCGGTTGGTTAATTTTTGACAGTTACAATATGCTGTTTGACGCCTTTATTTATCAAACATTTTGTTTGGCCAATATAAGAGTCAATTTTGTAGACACCTGACGCTTCGTAAGGTACTTTATCCTTTAGGGAACGCAGATTATTCATTAATTTTGAAGTTGGACAACAGTCTTAATGGAGTATTTATTTGGTACTGTTACAATTTTGTTCGTTATTTCTCTTAAGTATAATATACATTGTGAGAGGTACCTTTACCTTATATTAACAAATAATAAAATTATTCTTGTTAAAACCCAATGAACTATCTTAATCATGATTATATTATGTTTACATAAAGACTGTTTATTATCACAAGCTTCTTTTTCTTAAATCTGAGATCAACTACGTATAAACTTTGCTTAGCACGCAGTGAATTGGCCCTAATTCAATATTTTTCAAAATTGTATAAGAAGTTTTTTGTTCTTCATGAATTATTTACTTTATAACTTGGTTAAAATTTACCGAGCTGGAAATTTGTGTCAAAGACAAAATTTTCCACAAAAAAATATTTAGAAAGAACTAATTTTTTTATATGTGGGGTCTGTCTACCTTGATAAACTTTTTTAATTTTTCGTACATCGAATATAAATTGATTACGCTTATTAAGTAGACGTTCCGACTTATTTAGCTCATCTTGCGAAAGATACAAGTCGGTATCATTGAAATGCGGAAGAACTAACAATTGGATGAGGAACAATTTAGTTGAAGATGGGAGAAATAATTTGAAGCGATAATAGCACACCCTATATTAGTAAACCTACGACACACCTCAGTTGTCTACATGTGGCACCTAAATGTTGAATCAATGATCAGACCGAGTTATTTAGTCTGGTGACAGAATGGAATAATGCTGTTCTGATAGAGACGCACACATAAATTCACCATATTTAATTTAAAAAGCAGTTTAGAACTTCCTAGACTTTATTTGTTTGATTGAGCGAGCTAATATCAAGAACTATTGGTTCGAATTAAAAGATTATATTCATGTTAGATAACGTTATATCGAGGGTGACTATAGATAATACGTCATGTTACGACCAAAGCATGGAAGAAACAGGGAAAATTTGTTCTTTTTCTCATATGTGTATCAGACGAGTTTAGGGCAGATCAGCTAGTCTTTTAGTTTAATTTAGTTTAGTAAACATGTCATGCATGCTAAATATTATTATAAAATTGTACAGGGAAATTGAACCATCCGAATATTTCAGTTCATGCGACGTTAGTGTCCATTAAATATGTATGAAACGAAGCTAGCATATGTTCTGCATAATTTATCAATAATAAAACTACAGATATTAGAATTACATTTTACTTTATAATAGTATATATATGTATACATTATAGGATTGTACTTATTGCACTTAGATATAAAAGCAATGGAAATACTCTAATTTATAGGTATAAAAATAATGAACGTATAATAAATAATAAACTAAAGTACTGACTTTACTCTTATTTCATATGTCAAGTTAATATAGCTTGATATTATTTTATGTAACATTTATAAAAAGTTTATTAATTACTAAAACGACTTATTTTTGTTAGCCTTAACTTTTTTGGCATTACATGGCAACATGATTTGTGGTTGTGATTTCTGATATTGTATTTATAAGCATCAGTTGACACTTACCACCAGGTGAGCCGTCAGCTTATTGACCATTTCAGTGGCATAAAAAACATTAACATGTTTGAGCTTAGTTTCCTTTACATAGCACATGCTTGCACACACACACGCTCTCTCTCAATCACACATATATTATTATATACACACACTAGCACGTGCGCACGCGCTCGTACATACATACTCACGAACTAACAAACACATGTATTGTTTTGTTATAATTTACTATTATGTATGTAAATCAATATTATTGTCATCTCTAATGGCTGTGCCAATGTTAAGTTCACTTGCTTTGACTTCCACGATAAGTTTAATATTCCGAAAATAATAGTTATTCTTATTACCAGTTTAAAACGTAAATTATATGTAGTGGCGAGCCTATTTATTCTGTGAGGTTGATTTCTTGAAGCTGATATGTATATATT